TGGGTTAGAATTTTGATCTATAGGTAAGTCAGTCAGTGATAAAAATGAAGATTTAGGGACGTTAATATCTAAATAACGGTTTGAGGTATGTTTATGAAATTTGGAAAACATRTGTATCTCTAAGTCTCAATATATGAGTCAAATTTGACATGTTTATGTGGAATAGTTTTTGAGTTATGAGGGGGTCAAAAGTGGCTCCAAATGGTTCGTGTAATATTACACACGGTGCTGCTCGCCAGTTCTGTTAGCTAGAACTTGGCTACAGCGTGTCTAGATGGATTGGGCACTAGAAACGAAAGGGTTACTTGTAGATTTCTGCAAACTATATGACTTGGTCATAACAAACACATGCCAAAATGTTCATTGGAGGAAAAGGTATACATATGTGGAAAATGCCAGGGGACATTGGACGATACCAAATCGATTATATATTGGTAAGAAAACGCTACATAAATCAAGTACGGAGATGTAAAACTTACCCAGGCGCCGATGTGGACAGCGACCATAACTTCTTAATGATGAAAATCAATGTTGCATATAAAAAACTGAAGAAACCTACACAAAAGGAAAGAAGATATAACCTACGAAAAACGTCATACATAAAAAGGATGATTTCCGATACTGGTCTAACAAATTATAAGGAGCTAAAAAAGCTAGCTGAGAATAGAGATGAGTGGAGAAATTTCGGAAAACTGCGAAACCAACCTTAGGGTTGATATATAAAAAAAAAAACTTTAAAAGAATACCCTCAAAAAACTCAATGAAATAAATATATATATGTAAATACTATATAAAGGTAAGCACTAGTGTATTATTTAATTTTTGGTTAGTCAAGTATAAAATATGTTATCGATGCATAAAAAAAAATAAACTTTTTTCAATTAATAAAAATGTTTAAAAAAATGTGTACTAACTTATGAAACTTATAACCAGGGCTCGAGACTGAAAGCATTTGCTTATTTTTATGGATTGACTTAAAATGTAGCACAGTGCTATGGAAATGTATGAAATGTTATCACGTTTAATTATGAAGTTTGAAAGTGCTTATTTTCGCTTGTTTCAGTGTTATTTCAAAACAATTTCCAGTTCTTCTGATTATTTTTGCTTATTTGACCAGTATTTCTACGTTTTTATAATCTTTTCAACTATTATAAATATCGCTTATATTTCATTTTTCAGAAAATCTCTAGGAAAATCAATAAAATTCTTAAAATCTCGAAAGTGAAGTTTAATTTATCTTATAATATAAAGATAAAGATTTATTTTTATTTTGTTTGATTTTTTAGTTAGAATTTTTTAGTTTTTTTTTTTTGATAATTTTTTGCTTACATTTTTTTTAATGCTTATTTGACTGCTTGTAATGATGTTTTTAAAAGCTTTTTTAAACGCATATTTTAATGATTATAAGTGCTATAAGTCCCAAGCCCTGCTTATAACTCAACTAAGTCACCCAAAACTTAAATTCACTTTCACTTTAAATATTTTCTTATTTAAATAAGTTTAAAAAATAATTTACTTGTCCAGCCTTGTCAATTATCAATTGTTTATTAACATAACTTGACCTGAAAAAGAACCTGATCATCGCTTCGTTTAAAACTGTTTGATTAGTAAAAGAATCCATTTTATCTTAGTTTGGAAATAATACAGCTTATATAATAGAGGAAGAAGGACTTGCAGAATTATAAACAAATCAGATTTTCATAAAAAAAAAAAAATCAAAATTAATCAAAATTAATTCTTCCCGTGTTATCCAAATTTTAAACATTAAATTTATGTGAGGTAGCTTTTTACTTTAAGCCTTGGACAAAATAAAGTTAAATAAAGGAAGGATTACTAATGTATATCAAAGAGAAGTTAAGAAATTGCTGTAATGTGGGGTATAAATGTTATGTGAGAAACATCAGTCTTAAATTTTTCATTAAATACATATTGTTTCATTATTATTAATAAACATTTGTAACTTTAAAAAAAAATTAAGCATTAAAATATATTAAATACTATTTACTCATTGTTACCAGGTCTTGATTTAGAAAAGTACCTTGGTGACTAGTCAGTTGACTGGCCTCCATTTATGAAAGGCATTGTTTTGATTTATTAAATTTACTACACTTAAGTTGTTTAAGGACAACATTTTTGTATCAATTAATAAAATAATAATAAAGATAAACCTAAAAGTGAGAACTTATCAGCATTAAAATGTAATCATACTATCAACCAAGATTTGCCAACAGTCGGTAGTACTTTGTTTTGATTGTCACATAATGCACGGGGATAGTAACCTATTGAAAATTAAAGTCCTTGGATTTAAGTGAGTAAATCAGGCCCCAATTGTAACTTTTATTCTTTTATAATGTACCTTTTGCAAAATACAAAATATTTCAAACTTCAATAATTTATCATAATACAAGGTTAAGAAACACTGAAATAAACTCAATTTTGAGTTTGAAAATCAAGCATCTCTCTCTATACTTCACAATTTGTAACTTTAAATCATAGTAATTAATCAAGGGATATGCATAGATACATTTTTTTAAATATTCATATATTGATAATAGTTTTTTGGGTATGAGCATGTATAACAAATAATAATAATATTTACAGATAAATACAACCAAATTAATAAAATAATTAAAGAGACGTAGAATGGTTGTTGTCAGAAAAATGAAAAGAGTGGTTACCCGGCAGTTTAATATTATGGTTATACGACAACAAGGGTGTTGCCAACCTCATAAAATTAAAATGGATTTTTGTGGTACTATCCATATGATCAATCATAGTTCATGGTACTAACTATATATTTCTATGGTTC